ATGATTTTTCTTGCAAGACTGGGCCTGGGTATACAAAAAAAAAAAAAAAAAAAAAAAAATCCTAGTGAGGTATTAGCAACTACAATATCAGGAGAATGATTTCTGAGGCTTTAACTCCTCTAATTTCTGCTGGAGTTGTGAGATTCCTCGAAAAAAACAGCCTCCCAATTCTTGGTCTGGGTTTTGTCCTCAGTGTGGTGCCGAATCCATTTCACCTTTAGAGTCCAACTGACCTTGTGATCTTTCAATACAAAAAGAGAGCAAAGCAAATAGTCCAGTGTCTGAAATTGCCAGCATGGCTCGTTCATGTTCTGGTTGAGTGACAGAGCTCACCCCTAGGTCAGGGGTGGCTCCGTGTGGTGGAAAAATCTCTCCTCCAACCTGAGTTTCCAAAGAAAGGCTCAGCAGTCTCTGTTGTTCGGTCTCAAGGCAGTTTATTGCAAGTTATCTAAAAGATTTTCTCCTTGGGCTGCTGTGGTTTGCTCACAGCTCAGGCAGAGGCACACACACACCCTGACATCCTCTCTGACTCCCGACTGCTTCTTCTCTCCCCCTCTGCCCAGGGCTGCTGCTGTCTTTTATATGGTACATTACGTGTTACATGGGTACAGTTTGTCCCCAATGCCCATTACCTATATTAAATGGTGCTTTTCTACTCTAAACCAATCTGTGGGTGCCAACATCACCAAGAACATGGAGGTGAGGAAGGAGAAAGAGGGAGGACAGGGCAGGCCCAAATCCCTCCATCTTAAAACTTCTGACCCCCATGTACAAAACCAAAACCCCCCTGTACAGCACTCAAAAATTCTTCCCTTTACTTTGTGACTACTTCTACTATAATATCTAAACTTTTGTGACTTCTTGTTCTTCCTGCAAGGTTGGTAAATCATTCCATGGTTCAAACCCAAAATCACAGCTGCCTGCCAGGGTCTGAAATGCTTCTGACTGACCTGGGCCCGGAATATCCAAAAATGTCTGAGGGACATTTTGAGTTCCAACATTTGAGAGTCTCAGATCTGTCCTCTCCCGCAGGCCTTGCAGAGGGCTGGCGCCGTGGTGTCAATGACAGGGGACGGTGTCAACGACGCCGTGGCCCTGAAATCCGCCGACATCGGGATCGCCATGGGACGAGCGGGGACAGACGTCAGCAAAGAGGCTGCCAACATGATCCTGGTGGACGATGACTTCTCAAAAGTCATGTGGGTTTGGAGATTTTCTTACTCTTCAGCTCTTTTCTGGCTGTCTGCTGCAGCAAGCCTGTTGTGTGAGGAGGGATAAGAATGGAAGTGGAGAGCCCCAGGGTGGCTCTGACTCGTCTTTAGTTGCATACATGGTGGTGACTTTTCCTTCCAAGCCACCTTTCACCTGAAAGCCCTGACTCCTCATTGCTGTAGTTAACTGGGGATCTGAAAGCATGTAGAAGTCTGGGTAGATCAGAACTTTTTTGGTGATAATTTGGAGCTGGAGGTGATCCTGGAGGTGTTTTCCAACCTTTATGATTCTACCTCATCCAGGAAGCTCAGAGGAAAAACATAATTTGCAATGCTCTGTTGGTTCATAACAACAGCAAGAGTGGTACAGTGAGTATATAAATAGGTCCTAGGCCTGCTTCATGAACCAAAACCTGCCCACGTGACCCAGGTTTTCAGATCTACTTGTTGATAAAGGAATTGTAAGTGAGGAGCTGCATTGGCAATCTCCTCCTGAGCTGGGCTCTGAATTTCCATTGAAAAAGACTATTTGTGTTTTGAGTGTCACGGGGAGTAAAACAGTATGAGCGCTCTTGACTTAACAAAATCCCCTCTCCGTTCCAGGAATGCAATAGAAGAGGGAAAGGGAATATTTTACAACATAAAAAATTTTGTCCGGTTCCAGTTGAGCACGTAAGTTCCTGTTCGCTTCAGCTCCTGTGAAAAGCCCCTTCAGGGTGAAGCCCTGCAGAATAATGTTCTGTACTTTGCAGGAGTATTTCAGCTCTGAGCCTAATTACCCTGTCAACAGTGCTCAACCTACCCAACCCACTCAATGCTATGCAGATCTTATGGATCAACATCATCATGGATGGGCCACCAGCACAGAGGTATGGAAGGGGCCAATGAGCAAACTAATCTTGGGTTTAATATGTCTGAATTTGGCCTAGGAACACAAACTGTTGCGATTCCTCATCAATCATCATCAGTGGTTCAACAAACTGTACTTCTGCTCCCTCCTGGTCTTTCAAAAATCACTTCACATTTACGTGAGGTTTTCTGTATTTTCCTGGTTTATGGTGGAATCACTTAACTATTCCATTTTTTGACTAGGAATGGCCTGTTATCCTGAAAATAACACCTGCTGGTGGAATGGCCAGGGAATAGTGGGGATATGCCCCAAAATCACAAGACTTAGGAACCTCATCCAACTGCTAATTACAGCTACAGCTAAATACAATTACAGCTTCCTCATTATGCATATTCTCAGAGTCAGCTCTCACGTTGGGGTTGTCTGATGATCTGATGTTATTTTAGCAGCTCAATATGCAGAAAAGACCTTTGTTATCAGTGTCTTGGACAAATTTGGGCCTTATGTTACCTTGCTAGAATATTCACGCTGTGTTCCAAAGAATTGCATCCTCCAGCTCCATCCTGACTTCTCAGGATGAACATTTTGGGACGCCCTCCATTAATTAACACATCCCTCTGCTTCTCTTGGAGGCAGCTTGGGGGTTGAACCTGTTGACAGGGACACCATCAAGCAGCCGCCCCGCTGCATCACGGACACCATCCTCAGCAAATCCCTGATCCTGAAAATCTTCATGTCAGCAATCATCATCATCAGTGGAACCCTCTTTGTCTTCTGGAAGGAGGTGAGGGAAATCTGCACTCGGATCTTGTTTCCATCAGGGTGTGTGGAGCACAGAGTGAGGGCAGTTTCTGAAGGACGTGACAAGGACTTTCTGGAATCTATCTCATGGGAAGGATCAGTGTGGGCAGAGGGCTGAGAAAGCAGGTTCAGCTCCCAGCTCTGCTCCTGCCTCCCTCTCTCACCTCTAATTTGGTCCTTCCAATCCAGAATGGGAAACCTAAAACTTGATGTGGCATCAATACTTCAAGAGACTTTTCACCTCTAGCTTTCCATTTTCCCAGCAGAAAATAGCAAGTACAACGGATTACTGTTGGCACCTTAAGTCTCAGTAATTTAATTTAGAAAGTTCTTTACTCAAAGTCCACATCAGTTTAAGAATTTAAAATATGGTTGATAAGATCATAAACTTTAAAATTAGCAGAGAAAACTGAATGTTATCTATAATAGAACTAGATTTACTCCTTTGTCTTACTACCCTTTGGTTTGACTAGGCGCATTAAAGGGAACATTTAATTCTTCTATTGAATTGGCATATTTTTGTAAGCTTAAACTAACTCCTGATTTTTTGTGTGCTTCCAGAATCCAAAAGGGGGCATAACTCCTCGAACGACAACCATGACTTTCACCTGTTTTGTGTTTTTTGACCTCTTCAATGCCCTGACATGTCGCTCTCAGGTGAGATGGCTCTGTCAGCAGTAATTTCTTGTCTCAAATCACAAACATAAACATTAAAATACCAGCATTTTGCATAGTAAGGTTGTTTTTAATGTTATTTAAAGCAGTGTGATTTTTATCAATTTTTTATACAGATAAAATTATCCATCACAAGTGCAACTGCACTTTCAATTACGTAGCTCTAAGTGTTTATGCAATTTAAAAAGTAATGGAGATGAAATTTAAAGAAACAGGGTGACATTTAGCTCCAACAGAGTTTGGGAGAAACTGCTTTTTAAATTCTCTTTCCCTTTTCTAGACAAAGTTGATATTTGAAATTGGCTTTTTCCGAAACCGCATGTTCTTGTATTCTGTGCTTGGGTCATTTTTGGGACAGCTGGCTGTTATTTACATCCCTCCACTACAAAAGATCTTCCAGACAGAGAATTTAGGAGTGTTAGGTAAGTTGCAAAATAAATAATGGCTTGTTTTGTTGTGTTTTTTTTTTTCTTAAAGTGACTGTAGAAAGCAGATGCTGCTCCCAGTTTGCTCTGTTAGCTCCCAACACATCTCTGCAAGGGGAAATCAACCAACAGCTCCAATCTCTGTGTATTTACACAGAGCTGTACCCAAACAGTAGCAGTATTTCATATTATCCCAGCTTAGATTCTGAATTTTGATTTACTGCACATAAATGCAAGTAAATGGAGACATGCCAAGACTTTCCAGCTCTGTATGATGACATTTCTCAGGTCGTTTTGCAGACACTCCCTTTGGAAAGAGCTGAGTTAAAACTTCAGTTTCCCAGCTGAAACGGAACACAGATTTTAATTTAAATCAGCAAATTGCACCCTACCACACCGTGTTCCATCTGCATTAGGCTGTGTCATAAGCAGGGGGCAGGGATCCCAAATGATTCCTGTTTCCACCCTCCAAGGGGACTATCCCAGCTGTGGGTGGCCCTTATCTGCTGCAGTGATGTCCCTAATTCTCAGCTGGTGAGGGCACAAGGAGGGCACACACACCCCTGGGCTCACCAGCCCAATTCCCAGCTGCAGGAAAGCCCTGGGCTGGGATTCCTGCCTGGCTGAGCTCACCTGCACTCTCTCCTCCCCCAGACCTGCTGTTCCTCACCGGCCTGGCTTCCTCAGTGTTCGTGGTGTCCGAGCTGCTCAAACTCTGTGAAAAGCGCTGCTGCCCCCCAAAGCACACAAAGGGACGTCACAACTGACTGACACTGCCCTAAAACACACCTGGATAATCCCAATCCAGGGCTCTGTCACCCACACATCCTTCCTGAAGATACTCAAGTGCAGCTGTACCAGCAGTGCTTACACCAGAGACTCTTCTACCCCTTCATGTGAGCTGTCTGCAGATACCTCCAGAGTGGCTCCTGGTTTAAAACAAGAGCAGGTATATTTTTATAACACTGATCTGTGTTCCAGAAGGCTGAGCTAGTCCCACACAAAAAAAAAAAAGTTTCAAACCTGTACAGAAAAATCTATTGTGCATAAACTGAAATTTTATTTATTTAAATCAAAATAATTTTTATTAATAAAATCTACATTTTAAAATGTTACTGACAAGTATCTGAGTGAGACTCGTGATTGAGACACGTCCTTTAACGTTTCATTAGAAGAGTGGAAAAGACCTGCTTTGAAGCATTTCTTTTCCTTCAATCTGTAGTGTTTGTGGATTCCCAGATATCCAAGCTTGACTCAGCAAGACTTTCAAGGAAACTCTGGGGAGCTGCCAAACAGAGCAGGGAGCTGAAGTGCCAACCTTTTGTACCTGTGTGACTGACAGGAGAAGAAGGGAAAGCTGATCACACCCAACACTCAGCAGTGGATGGATTTAATGGGAAAGGGACTCGCTTCCATAGAGCCTGAGAATAAAAAGGAGGAACAGGAGCAGGAACAGAGCACAGATGTTGGGCTCAACATCTCTGTTGAGTCAAGAACAGAGCAAGGGTGTTGGGCTTTGCAGCTGTGCCAAAACTGCACAAAAGGGACGGAGCTGTTCAGATCGTAGCTAAACCCACTGCTGACAAAAGCTTTCTGGACATTTTGAGGTGCATGAGCATGAAGCTCAGATTTCTTAATCATTAGATTCAGGTTAAAATACAAACTGAGTCCTTCCCAAGCCCATTTTTTACATTTAAAGAACAATTTGGAATAATCCTATCTGCTGGTTGGATCAGTGGTGTCCTAGTAAATAATGCTTCACTGAGACATTTGCTGAAGTGCCAGTGTCAGTTTTCTTCTTGTCCCAGCTTAACATCTTCAAATGAAGAGTCTCAGACACAAACTTGTCAAAAAAATACAATTTCAGAGGTCACAATGCTACGCTGATCGTCACAAGAAGAAGTTCAAACAGGATTATATTTTGGATTCACAATCTAGAAAGAAACAGCTATACTGATACTCACTAAAAATCAAAGAAAACTTGGCCACTGAAATATTTTTGGTGGAGAGTAGCTTTGTAAATTTTTTTTTTATACCCTTGCAGGTGGTTTCAGTTCTCAAAAACAAGCTTCTGTCTTGTAATGGGAGGAAAATAAAGCCTAGCAATTTATTTTATGTTTAATTGCAGAAATTCAACTGTCTCATCCTGTACGCCACCTACATGGGAGTGTTTAATAGGCTTAGTCACTGCTCAGTGAAAATGACCTCTGAGACTCACGGTGGGAGTTTGAGAATGTTCAAACAAAAGCTGCTGTCACCACACTCACAGACAACACCATGTACTTATTACTCCTTACATTGTAAAATTTAATATTTTTAATATTATTTATATATAGAGAGAAGAAAACTATACAAAAGTATCATTGCAATTGTTCTGATGCTTATTTTTTTCTGTGTGTTACAAGACTATCTGGTTTCTCTAAGCAAATACAACATAAAAGGAATTCTCCCAGGATTTTCACAGCCCTTTCTGTACTGGAACAAACAGCATGTAAATGCCCCAAGCATTAGCTCAGGTACTCCACAAAACACACAGTTGAGTCCTAGGATACCTGGCTGGAGTGATTTCTTCATGCTCTCCTTTCAAGGCTAAATTCATGTTTAATATAATTTATAAAAGGAGATCTAATTTAAGGCACAAGTGCACATTGTTCAGAATATTCAAATCTGGCTCCCTATGAAAAACAGGTGGGGGAAAAAATCTCATACAAGAAAACACCAAGGAAAAGAATTTTAAGGAAGGCCACATGAGCAGAAATTATATATTGTTTTTCTCTAAGTTGCAAAGAAGACATGCCAGGACTGGACACAGTCCTTTTCCTCGGGAGAAGGAAGACTGACAATCAGAGATGCTGATAACCAAACACTCATTGCTGAGTTAGAAATTGCAGCTCCTGGTAGAAATCAGGGTTCTTTCTGACAAGTTAATTACACATAGAATTAGCAAGGTCAAACGAATAATTACTGAGAGATGGGAACTAATTCAAGAAGAAAAAGTCCTGAGTATAAGAGACCTGACAAAACTGGTGAACAGTCACAAAACAGAGCACAAACCCCAACAACTGCATTTTACAGTTTTCCACAAGAGTAATGATTCATTATGTGGAAATAAAGTGTACAGCAATCTTCTTTAAACATTTTACAGATATAACCCTGATTTTTATTTCTTTCACAAGGTATCTGTAGATCCTGTTCTCAAGTAAGTATGGCTGCTTCTTACTCAACCTTTTTTACAGCCTGATCTTTTACTCCAGACTCATGAGGCTTCTAAAGAATGTACCTTCTCTAGAGAATTCTGCTGGAGGTATTTGTAGGATAAATATGGCTCCAATGATTCTGGTCTAAGTTTAAAAAGCAACAGGCAAGTTTCTGCAGAAACAGATGAAGTGAGATGCACCAGGGATAGTGTAGTACTATACAACTTGTTGTTGTGCAACATCCTACAGCTCACATGGAATCACTGAAAATCTGACTTAGAAAGCTTGAAATTTAATGCTTTAACTGAAGCAATGAAAATTTATAGCACCCTTCACATGTCATCATGTGGACTATTCTATGTTCACCAGTGTAAGACGTTAGTTTGTAAGCTTTGCTAACTAATTTCATTGCATGCAAATAAATATGTGCAGTTGAGGTATAAGAGCTTTAATCAGTGCCTTAACCAGGCTTTATAAATATATAACTATGTACATATCAATTCTTCAGGACAGAAAGCCATACTGTCAATAAGTTCTGCTGCTTTTAATTCAGTGCGTAGACACGATCTATGGGAAATGAAAGCAGATTCATATTCAGCTGGAGCTCAGCCATGCCTAATGATTTTGTCCCCAGGTAATTTTTCTGCCCTCCCCAAACAAAACCCTTCAGGCAGAATAGTGCTTTAGACCTAAATATTACACAAGTACAAGGCTTAAGCTTTGTCCCAGACAATTAGGTACATTCAAGGGAAAAAAAAAAGGAAAAAGTATCTTGTCCAAGGAACAATCACCACTTGAAGCAAATAAAAGTGAAGTTTTTACATGTTACTATGGCTCCTTTAGTTCTCATCATCATCACCTTCTTCCTCTTCCATGGGCTCCCGCAGACCTTCGCTCTGACGGCTTTTCCCAGCCATTTCCAGCAAGGCCTGAGCCTGAGGATCCACATCCAGGATACTCTTCTTACCTTTTCTCTTCAAAACAAAATAAAATACAGTCAATTTAAAATGTCAACATCAGGCTACAGGGAAGGGACACACTCAGAAGCCTGTAAGTGATGTGGTCTGCAAGCTTGGCACAACGGAGAAGATGTATTCCCAGTTTCAAAATTCACAACTACATCAAATGATTTTTACTGCTGCAGCTACATAAAATAGCCATAAACATTTCCTAAGATGGCAGCGAGATATTTCAAGTTTATTCAGGTTACAAGCATCCAGGATATCCTGGTTAACCTCACCTCAGTCTGATGTGCTGATGTGAGGTTTTTAAAGAGATCCAGTTACGATTCAACAATTTCTGTCAACAGTTTGCTCTGTTTCTATTTAAGAGATATGTGTACAGTGAAGTCAGGGTACATTAATTTAGTATAAAAACAAGTAAAAATTAAAAAGGAATGAATCTTAAAACCCCACCAAACTGTACAGACTAAACAGACAGTTTAGTCTGAGTTTAATGAGAGAATAAATTGCAGGGATAGAGGAGACTGGAGAGAGGGCTCCTACTCATTCCCAAAAATAAACCAAGTGCAGAAAGACTGGCATAAACCTATTCACACAAATTTATGGTAAAACAATAGTAAATTTAAAGTTACTGATAAAGAAAGCTTTTGGGTCTCTTCTTGAACTACAGCTTAGACTTGAGAATTTCCAGTGCTTTTAGAAACTGGGTTTTACTGAGCCCCTCCAAGGAGGTTCCTCCTGGAGACCATTCCTCAATATTGAAAAGGCCTTTTGGAATTCAAAATACTGCTATTCTGACTCTATCACCTCATGGCTTCTGATGCTGTTTCTTGTTAGCAACCTCAATAATTCCACTAGAGTTTTGCTATTTGGTCCTATAAAACACATGGCATCACAGGGCCAGGTAAAGAAAATATTATTCAGTACAATCAAAGACAGTGTTTAAACAGAAAACTGCAACTGTGAGCTTTGCATTCACATCTTCTGTTCCAACCAGCACACAATTTCACAGGTTCAATTCACAATTTCACCTACCCCTGCACTCTCAGGGGTGTCTCCCACTGCCCAAACTTCCAAGGCATCCAGTGTAAAATCCTCTTTGGCTGACAGCTGGGGGCTGTTGTAGGTGGTGCAGCGAGGTTTGGCTTTGCTGTGGCCCTTCCCGTAGTCACTGTCTATCCAGAGCCCAAAGTAGCCATGCTGTCCCCCCATACCCTGTGGAGAAAGCCAGCACATTAAACACATCCTGCACAGGGAAAACAGGCTGGGAAAATTAGGAAACCTGAGAGTAAGCTGCTGTGGTCAGTATTTATGCCACACTTTAAAAAGATAAGTAAAAAAAGTGGATACCCACATCTGCTATTCCTGAATACTCAAAATTTACCCAAGTAATACTGCCCTACGTCTGTGCTTCACAGTATACAAATATCTATGACTTGTGCCAGAAATTAACCTCCTGGCTTTTTTTTATTGACTATTAAAAGTTCCATTTCAAACAGAATAGCAGTGCTCAGGTTTGCTGCCTCCTTTCCATTGAGGAAAGTATCTACAAAAACCAATAATGTCCAATTTGATGTTGTTCACTTTTTCTGGAGCAAATTAATTCCAGACTGCTGCAATTCCCAAATTTATGGGCATAAAATGCTTCAAAACTGTAAAGCATTTCCAAGACAGGTGGTGTGTTGTAGCTCTGTAGAAACTCCTCTGCATCTGGAGAGCTCATTTGTGAATTTGAGTAGGAGTAGCTCCTGCCACTGTCATCACACAGCAGCAGCAGCTACTTGCAATGTCTGCACTCTCATCCTGCTGGGCTTTCTCCCCCATAATTCCAAAAGCAGTTGCTGTGGCAGGGAGAGCAGCCAGTGGAAGAATCCTCAGTTACACAGATCACTGTTTTGTGCTGCTTCAGGCATGCAGATTTCCTCGGAGAGTAACAAATGAAATAAATCTGCTCTCAGAAAGAAAAAAAAAAAGAAAAAAAAAAACCACAAAACACTTCCAAACGTCAGCCACAAATCCAAATTCTAAATCATTTGTGAATACTCACAAGTCCATTTGGCATAGTCTGCTGGCCATGGTTTAAATACATGTAGTGCTCATTGTACCCTGTGTATGTGTACACAGCCAGAGTGGGGAAAACAGAAAACAGAAAGCATCTGTTGTCACCTGCAAACAGAAGCATCTCAGGTCAGACAAGAGATCAAGCAATAACTTGTCTACATATAAATTAGAAAAAATAATTTAAGCTGAATAATTCAAAGACAGCAGCTGCCATCTCAGAAAGCCAGTTCATCTCCCATCAAGATTTAGATCTACTTTTTATTTTAAGTGAACTCTGTGCAGTCACAAAAATCAATGCGATTACAGGCTGTGATCAAGGGCAGAGTCAGAGGCACCACTAGGACATTATGTCACTATGTCACCTACCCTAGATTGCATTATATCATCTAAAACTGGCCAGCTGACAGATCTGTACAAACTGAATGCAGACATCCCTAGTTCTGACTACATTGATAGATAAATCAGTTCAGAGAGCAATCTTCACCATGCTCAGTTCAGGATTCAGAGGCACCTGTGGTGTGCTTGCCCTGTAGACTTTGTATCTTTCTCTATCAGGAAAAAATACCAGGAAAGGGATGTTTAAACAGTGCAAAATATAGTACAAACACTCTGAAGGGGTAATTTTCAAATACTCATTTAGAACATGAATTGAGTTTCTAATGTAGCCAGAGTGAGGATTCCCAGCAACACCAAATACCCATAGCCCATGTTTTTTTCTTCACAAATCCATCACAAACATTCTTTCCAAAGAGTTCTTCAAAAACCCTCTCTTCTCCCTCAAAGTTTTAACGGAACAAGAAGTTTAGTTTGTCCAAAGAATCCTCTGGCTGCTGGATTTTAGAAGGGGAACAAAAACAGTGCACAAACGGCAAGAGGAGGCTCAAGTGTTCCTGATGGAGGACTGCCATCCTGTGGACAAATTATTCAGACACTAATTCATCATCTGTGCTCTACTTCATTCATTTTCATTTAATTTTCAACCTAAGCAGCTACAGGGCTTGACAGATTTCCCTGAAAACTTGTTTTGTGATCAGTAAGTCCTGCAATTTTAAAAGCCTTATCAAATAACAAGCTATAAAGATTAATGAGCAACATGCCTGACTGCCACGCTAAGAATAACTTTACATGTGTTTTATATTATTTAAAAATTAGTTATTTTTTGCCACAGAGCAATTCACTTGGAAGTGTAAAAAACACTTTGTGTCATTAAAGGGCCAGTACCCATTAAGGGGACAGGATTCTTGTGCCTGTACAAAAACCAGGGAATTTACCAGAGATACTAAAGCAAGAAAAGTGAGTTTTACCTTGAAACTGTGGCTTCACCTCCCAGGAGTGAGAAGCAAACCCACCAAAGAGGAAACCATCCAAGTCCCTTATGATCACTAGGCAAGGGCCTTTGTTCACTATGTGGGCACACAGCTGTGAGAAGCTTTCCCCGTGGAGCCTGGAGGAAAATAAAAGCTGCCACTTGTGCTGCATCTCTGCAGGCAGGTGGGAGTTGATGTAGATGATGGCTGGGATGTCAAAGAGACTGACAACTCCTCTTCCTTTGATGCCCTTGCAGTGAGGAACCAGGTTGAGGATGTCGTTGGTTTGGTCTGGGAGGGAATGCAGGACGTGGAGACCTTGCCTGATGACAACACTGAGGAAAACTGAGATCTGGGGAACTCGGTACACCCAATCCCCAATCACACTTTGGTCAAAATTTGCCTCCAGGAGCTGAGTACCCACGGGTTTTGTCCCATCTAAAGAATAAGACATGAAGAGACGGGAGTAAGCCTCCCCATCTGGAAAAGAATCAGGTGATTTTTAAGTGTAAACATAAACATTATTGTAATGTACAGAAAACCACATATGAGAGGAGCCTGGAACAGTAAAGTGTCAACTACATTAAACAAATGCAACCACAGAACTGAGAAACCTCTACCTGTGGCATTCTTTACCTGGCTGAGCTGTCACGATTTAGAAACACAAGACTTCCAAGTTATAACTCATGAAGTGTTCTTTACAAGACAGCAAAATCTGTTATCACAACAGTGAAAAGATAGATCTATGCTTTATAAAAGGACATAGTCAAAAATACATGAGAAATTTTATTTAAATAAATTATTTAGATGCCCATTCTTATCATTTGCAAGTTAGGTATTTGTAAAATAGACATGCTCCATGACAAACTAGGACATCAGATCAAATCTCACCTGAATTTAGGGGAGAAAGATGGTAAGGTTAAATAAAAAATAAAAAAAAAATGTAATGTCATTTTCTAAGCACTAGGTTTGAAATTTCGGTCTCACCCTTAAAATTCAAAGATGTAACCTGAAGAGAGAAAGTCTCATGTGATCACTGATTACACAAGCTCTGGGATAAGCTGAATCAGGGCTGCTTACCTGGAAGCTTCAATTCCGAGAGCAGCTCAGAAGCCAAAGCTTTGACTCCACTTGAAGAATCCCTCGTGTTCTCCAAACTCCAACCTTTCAGCTCCTTCCTGTAACTCAGTACATGGATGACAGACGTGATCAGATCCTCTGTGAACTTAAAAGATTAAAACATCACAATTTTGGTATTTCTTAAGTGAAATTTCCAAGAGCTTCAAAGGACTGTCTGAAAATAAAGTCAAGCAGTAGTGACGCTGTAATCCCAAAGGCAGAAACATCTCTTGCCATGACAAGTCAGGAACTACAGAAATGCTACTTCAGTGTCATAGGCCTTGAAAAGGATCCTTTTCAAGACATTTCATACATGTCACTTCACAAAGCACCTCCATAAAATAGGGAATGAAAGAGGGAGGGGAAGGTCAAGTTTTGCAGTGTAGGAGCTGCTAGTGCATTACTGTTCTGTGACATCTCAAAAGCTACACAGCTGATCCTGCAACTAAAGCTCTAGAAAGCATTTCACTCAGTTCCCTGAAGCACCAGCCACACCACAGCCCTTGCTGGCTCTTAACTATAGCCCTGCTCTCCTACTATCCTCCCAACACACTTCAACTGCTCGTTTACCTCTCGGATTTGTTTGCCCTTCAGAGGCCCTCCCGTCTTGTCGATCATTCTCATTATTATGCTAATCTTCTCATCTGCATTCCCTTTTAAGAGATTTGACATAAAAATTACAAACTGCTCCTTAGCAATCTGTTCACTGGGCCCGGATGATTTGCCAGGCAGGTCAATGCTTTTCATGCCATTGTACAAACGAGCCGTCATTGGCTGTGGCAGGGGCTCCCGGGTGTGTGCCTGCAGGGAGAGAAACAGCAAACAGCAAGTTTTACAAATGAAGAATAACTCACGTCTTCCAGTTTATCTGTGCTGACATGCAGTATGTAGTATCAGCAATAAATTTTTGTCAGAGAACTGCTAAAAATCTCTATTTTTATAGCGAATTTTTTTAGTGATTTAGGTAGGTACTGTTTTTCTAGAAGCAGCACGGGCTTCAGAAAAATCAACACTGCAAAGCCTTAATAGGATATTACCAAAGGGTTTCTGGGTGATAACTCTGGTGCAAAGGTTTACAGCTCTGCCAGCAAAACATTCAAAATTGTGTTTTAATTCTGCTTTCAACAGTGCAGCTCACTTCAAAACAAAGTGGAGTGTTTTCCATATCTCAGTTTTGGCCTCAAGGTAGTGTTTAACCCCACATACATGAGCAGAAATAATCCTGGAAAATTTCCCCCTGCATAGCAGCTAATTGAAGCGCAGATCACCTGATTTTTAAAAAGCATCCCTGGTGTTAAGAGAGTCAAAATCAGCACTTACTCATCTGGATTGCCTGCTTGGCCCTTTGAGTTGAAATCTAGCTGGAATATATCATCACTCATCACAGCTCTGTGGGAAAGATCTGACTCTGGATTCAACTTTCAGAGTGTTCAAGTTAATTACACAGTTTAAAAATAAATCATCTCGAGTGCATGACAGAGGAGGACGTGATTACCCCATGTCCTCACTGTGCACAGAGGTGTGCTGAAGACCTGATTTGACTCTTCCACACACGGTGTAGCTCAGTGGGGACTGTGCTGAAATCAGTGGAGCCCCACGTGCCTAAAAGCCCAACTGCAGCTCCACTCAGGGGAGCTGCTATTGCTGATTCCACTCTTGGGAAGCCACCTGGGCTGCTCCTATTTGCTGTAAATGGCTGTTGCTGGGCATGAGAGATGCAACATCCTGAGCTCTGTGCTGCTTGCACTGACGTCAGTGCTCCAGCTCCCATTGATTCCAGCAGCAGCAGAAAGAGCAGCCACAGCCTTTCCCATCAGAGTGCTCCACAGCGAGGGAGGGATGCTCACAGGGGGTACAGCTGCCTTTGAGAGGCTTTCTGAAAATTCTGAAGTGGGAGAGGCAGCAGGGAACACAACTAAAACATTATACTCCACACTGCTGAATTTTTTTTTACTTCACACTGCTGAATTACCTACTCCCTACCTAATCCCACCACTTCACTGGGATGTTTCATTTTTAGCTATTCCAAAGAGAGGGCCTGGGGTGCAAAAAAAGAGGTGTGTAAAAAAGTAATCCTTAATAACCATCTAACTCACACCTCTGACAGCTTAGAACTCCTGTTTTAAAAAGGCTTCATGGAATTATCAAGAGGTTCCTGCTCCAGTTGCTTCCCAAGCTATGCAGTGCTGTCCTAGCCCAGATGCTTGGGGCCTCACCAGTGGTACCAGATTATTGTTGGATCAAATCTGACATATCTCAGTCCAGGTTATGAGCATTGTCACCTACAAGGCAGAAATACCACTGCCATTCTCCTTGCACCTACAGCAAGTCTTCCAAAAGATTTTAATTTAAGCTGGTAAACAAAAAGGCAGGAAGGGAAAAGGCAAATGTTCATCAAAGATCACCCTGATCTGGAGTAAACCTAGAAAAAACTTCTGCCAGGTCCCAAACAATTAACTGGCACCAAGGACGATGGACGAACTAGTGCTGAAAAACCAGGCAGCAGGAACATCATTTCCAAACTTGGTGCTCCAAAAATTGGTGACAGCTCACAAACAGCCAGGCTGCAGGAAGGCTGAAGCTGGTCTGTATGCACAGGCATTGCTGAACACCTTAAAATAACCTGCTGCTTTCAATGAGTTTTAATTTGACTCCATTATCTCTGTAATATGTATCAAACTGCACTTTACCACTACATTCATTTGGCCACTTAGTTCCTGACTAGCTGAAGTTATTAAGGATCCCAATGACTCATTTTTCTCTTTTCTTGATTAGAAAATGAATGCAAAGTCAATCAGAAGCATCACAGATGTTAATTAGCTAAAACAGCAAGACACGGCTTAATCAAGTCAAATTGAATTCTCTCCTTTTAGTACAAGTGAAGAGATTAGAGACACTGATATGTCGAGGGAGACAGGCACAACCAAATAAAAACTGACTTTGTGACAGCTTCTCAAGACAATCTGTAAATGATTCCACACTATAGACTCCAGAGGTAAAAATATTCTTCCTGTTTTTCAGGTCCCTGTGAAAATATTTCCATACACCCTAACTTACTTCAGAATTAGGAAAGCTGCAAGTGAACCCAAAAGTGCAATTTAAGAGATAAATGCAAACCTGAAAGTCACTACTCTGGTTAAACTGCAAGAAAAAGTTAAATATCCATCTTGCCCCAAAATATGAAAAATTAAATTGAGATGAGCAATCCTTAAAAAAACACCACATCTTTATAGTTTATTTCTGGAACTCTGTTCAATGCACTACACCCCAGATACATCATGAATAACAGACTGTCTTGCCTGTAGTGCTTCCAGAGTCACAGTTTTCTTTGCAGCTTTGGCATTCTTTGCTCCAGATGAGCCACTGGATCCTGATAAGGTATCGAATAGTCCATCAATGTCAGACTGCTCCTCAGGAAGAAATCTGGAAAGGTGATTCTGATAGGCATTGCTTTCAGCATTCCCCATCTTTTCAACCTGAAGCAAAGAGAAAAAAAAATCAGAAGAAACATTAAATACAGAAAGGTATCACAAGGGCCACAAAAGACACATCAAACAGACTAACACAGCAGTGCACGCTTTACGAGCAGAGCAAATTAGCAATCTTACAGGAAATTATTAAAAGTACTGTTTAGTCTCTGTATTCACCAAGGCTTAATGAACCTGGAGAACATCTGTGAATAGTAACTGTGCTTTAAAAGCTGACAGTCTGACAGCTCTTGGCTAAAACCACACTGGCCACCAATGCCAACCTCAGTCAAGCCTCTATCAAATGGAAAAACCAATATGATCTAACAGGAAAATTAGTTTACCACAAAGTGACCGTGAGTTTGACAGCTGGAATACATCCTTAACATGAAGGGAAAAGCCTGATAATGGATTAGTTATGACAGATTATGCTGCACCTTTCTGGTGCATTAATGGACTGAACTTAAGTTTGCCAATATGATGTGGCACTAAAACACCGTCACTGCAAAGTGTCTGAAAAACAGGAGAGTGGGTTCTTTCATGGACACACTATAAAAATAATTTGAAACAAAGGGACAAAAACATTTAGGAGCACAACTCAAGACCCGTTAAAACCACACAGATTCATACCAAACCAATAAATCAATCATTGGGAATTGGTATCCACAGAAATAAAGTTGGCTGTGGGGGGTTGGTTTGGGGTTTGTTTGTTTGTTTTACACTTTTCGTGGTATAACTATTTATCTCAATGTCCCAGGAGTCACCTGCATTACAGATTAATTTTTAGTCTTGTCTGGGCCATCCAGACAGATTAATAGATTAATTTTTAGTGCTGTCTGAGCCATGTGCTCTGCCCTTCTCCCTGGAGCAACACAGCACAGACCGAACAGCGTCTGAAACCCCAAATCCCACCATGACCCCAGTGACAGCCACCACCGCCAACAGCCTTCCCACCTGTCTGGGGAAGACACAAGCCTGGGGTGACAAAATGAAAAAAATCAGATATGGAACAAAAACATCATTTTGCAGGGATTTTTCCTGCAAATTCCCTGTCCTTCCTGACATTCCTCTTTTGTAGGCGAGCCCATCGCGCAACCCAACAGCGCCTCTGTTGAGCTCAGTGCAGTATTTCTGCCCTTAACTTTTGTTTACCGTAAACAAAAGGCCGGGTTGTGGCTGCTTCACCTTCAGGCCTAAATCCTTGTTTGCCTGAGGAAGATGCCGATCGTGGGGTAAACACGGAAGGGTGAATGGAACCCACTGTAACCTAGAAGACAGACCGTGGAGACGTTGTTAATTCAAGCAGAGAACCGCTGGAGGAGAAACGGGATCCTTCAAAGCTTTATTTCAAGGAATAATATTCAATAATAAACTTTGAAAGGTTAATTTCAAGGAACAATATTCAATAATAAACCTTGAAAGCCTCATTTCAAGCCCAGCTCGGCAGCAGCTCCCCGGCCCATCCTGGTAGTGAGGCGGAGGCTGTGGCGAGCCCCCGCCCGCCCCTCGCTTACCGGCAGGGCGGGCCGGCCCCGATGGGCCCCGGGCTGTGGCACCGGCCCTCGGTAGCCCCGATGGGTCCCGGGCTGTAACACCGGCCCTCGGTAACCCCGATGGGCCCCGGGCTGTGGCACCGGCCCTCGGTAGCCCCGATGGGTCCCGGGCTGTAACACCGGCCCTCGGTAACCCCGATGGGCCCCGGGCTGTGGCACCGGCCCTCGGTAGCCCCCGATGGCCCCGCGCTGCGACACCGGCCCCGGCCCGGCCGGCGCCATGCGGCACCTCCGCCCGCACGGCCGGGGCGGAGCGCGGGGCCGGCCCTCGGCCACGGGAGGCACGGGCGGAGCGAGGCAAGCAGGGAAGGCATGGAGGGAGTGGAGGAAGGCACGGAGGAAGGTAGGAAAAGCGAGGAGCAGCGGTGTTGTCCCCCCGGGTGGTGCTGCAGCCCGCAGCGGAGGCGGTGAGGAGATACGGACACCAGGAGAACGCGGCCACCCCGCCTCCATCAGCTCCTCAGCCTTGAGGGGACCCTTCCCTCTCAGGGTACGCTTTTCCCTGAGGAACCCCTCCTTTTTGAGCGGACCCTTCCCTCCTTTTTGAGGGAAACCTCTGCACCCTGGGAAAAGTCTCCATTTTGAGGGGACCCTTTTCCCTAGAGAGATTCTCCTTTAGGGAACCGCCCTCCCTGAGGAAACCCTGCTTTCCCAGGAAAACCTTCTCCTTGAGGAGACCTTGCTTTTCCAGGGCATCCCTTTTTCCTCAGGAGACCTTGCTTTTCCAGGGCATCCCTTTTTCCTGAGGAGACCCTGCTTTTCCAGAAACCCTCCTCCCTGAGGAGACCTTGCTTTTCCAGGGCATCCCTTTTCCTTGAGGAGACCTTGCTTTTCCAGGAGCCCTTTTCCCTGAGGAGACCTTGCTTTTCCAGGGCATCCTCCTGCATTCTTCCTGAGGCATCCCTTTTCACTCAGCCTCCCTGGCCCTAAAACATGTTTTAAAAACAGTAAAAATTCAAAGTTGTAGCTGGGACACAGCAACCAGCCTTCGCAGCTCCTGTCAAGGCTGACTGGCAAAATCAGGCTGCTGTGAGGCTGAGAGGTAAAAAGGCTGTACATGGGCTAAGGGACAAATGCAAGGTCACAGGGACTGGCCATGCCTTCAGTCAGACATGTGAAGACTTGGTAGAAAAGTTATAACCTCAGTGGTTGCAAAAGTCTGGTCCCACAATTCTCTTTTTTAGTTTTTTTTTTTTTTTTCAGGCAACTTTTCATCCCATTTGCATTATTCTCCTTGTTCTTTCAGCTACAGGGTTTGGTTCCTGCAACATACCAAGGCCTTCACATTCAGAGCAGTAACACCATTTTTGCCCATGCTTCGTGTGACTCTGGTTGATTTTCTTGCAGCCTGAGCTCAGTGTGAAGCCTCCTTCTTCCAGATGTGGGGAGATGGGCAAATTCACATAAATCTGGTGTTGTGAGTGTTCCTGCAACAAGGTACCATGGAACAGCTTAACAGCTTTGCCACTTAACTTTGAATTATAGTCTGATCGGTGTATTTTCAACAGAAGGCAAAAATGTACAAAAGAAGAGAATTTAGGGGAAAAAAATAGTTTCCCAGAGAAGTTATTAATGTCCCATCCCTGGAAATTTTCAAGACCAGGTTGGATTAGGCTCAGAGCACCCTGGGCTGGTGGAAGGTGTCCTTGCCCATGGCAGGTGTTGGAATGAGATGAGCTTTAAGATCCTTTCCAATACAACCCAATCTGTGATTCTGTCTGTATTAACCATAGCAGAGCCTCACTGCTCTTTTTCAAGAACGAGTAAAAATCTTGATAAAGTTAAACCGTACTTTTCAATTGTGGGGTGTTTTTTTGTAACCTTCATGGATTCAAAATTTCATAAAAACCTGACTAATAGTCTTCCTGTTGCCAGCTCAGACATGGAAACAGATTGACCAGAATTCCAGGGCGGATGCTGTTTCAGATTCTCTCTGATCGCCACGAGAGCCACAGGACTTAACTCAGCTCCTGTCAGCAGGGTCAGGACATAGCAAGTAAAAATGAAGGTAAAAATGTCATGTTCATATGATGTGAACGTAACCTGGGCTAGTGGAAGGTGTCCCTGCCCGTAGCAGGGTCGAGATGACCATTTTCACTCAAAACAGCTCGAAACATCCCAGGATTCAATGACGTTCCTCTGGAAACTGCTGGAGATGTCTTTGCCCACACGATGGCATCGCCTGTTTAGGAAGTTCCTCACGCTGCGGCTTCAGCACCCTCCCAGCGGGTTTGGATTCTAACACCGTGTGTTAGAAGTAAAACCTGCTGTAATAAATTAGTTCATCCCTTTCCTAACAACTCTACGTAATGACTGTGAGGGTAAAACTCGGTTTTTGGTGGAAATCCCTCCTTCCAGGTCCTGGAAAAAGTCCAATGGGTGTTTGTTTCCCATCAGTGTTAATGAACTTCCAGCTGATGCCCAAGGAGAAAAGTGAAACATGCAAAATGAGAAAAACGTTTTTTTTTCATTCAAGTTAACTTTTTCTTCTTTATTTTTAAAGGTTAGTGTTTCTGTGGATGTATTGCTTCACATGCAATTGGATTTTTACATTTGTTTCTTTTATTGTTGCGAAAAATGCATATTTATGATTGGCTTTCCGCAAATGTTACAATGAATATTATATGTGTAATGTTAGAAAGTTATGCTGTATTAATTCTCTTACGTATTGTGTTAAGTGTAGTTTTAGGTTACAACATAATGTTAAAATAGAGACTATGTATGTGGGGGGAGTTTTCTTTTTAGGAATGAGATACTTGCTTTGAGGAACACCTAAATCTTCCAAAGGAAAGGAATTTATGGCTTCTTATCAGAAGAAACTAATTTCTTCAGGCCTTGCTCAGACTCGAAGACGCCAGGGGATTAAAGGAAACAATTCCCATACAACAGACAAAGTTTCTTGTTTTAAATAGAATGTATGCATAACCATGAAGCATATATGAATATGCAACAAGTGTATTGGTTTAAGGGTGATTCCTTTGCTCACAAGGGATGCTTTTCGTGACTTAGTGTCCGAGAGCATCCGGAGGTCTGTAATTCTTTGCTTTTTATTGTCTTGTAATTGTCCTAACTCCAAACTTTATTACTCTAATTGTATTATTATTTTTATAACCATTTTATTATTATTAAACTTTTAACATTTTAAAAACCAAGTGCTTGGCATTTTTCACATTGTGTTTAATATTTAATCTATTTCTTTAGGACCTCTTTTCAGTCTGGAAATACAAGATTTGAGATTCTGGGCTTACTGACCTTGCACTAAGACTGACAACCAGCCAGCTAATTCTGATTGACCAGTATCATCTTCACAAAGAAATTATTATTTCAATACCCTTTTTCTCCAGCTACTGAGCTCAGAATCAGTCAAAAGCTGCTGAAAGCTACTGGCCTGGCTTAGCTCAAATTTATCCTCTTGCTCAAGCCTTGGCCGTTTGTGACAGAGCTGACTGTGAGCTGTGGGTTTGTTTGCCCTGCCATCAATCTAACCCGAGCTTCCTGCTGCTCCTGGATGGAGTTTGTCACTTGCCTGTGACATTAGGCTGTAAACTGCAGGGTAACCAGCTCTTAAAGCCACAAGATACTCACACTAAATCGCACAGATTATGCTCCTGCTGCGAGGGAATTTCCAGGTCAGAGGCTAACCACCCTTTCAACTGTTTTTTTGCACCGAGAGTGTAAAAAGTCAAGCTGGAAACCTGGTGCATAAGGGCAGCAGTTCGCAGCTCTCCTTTAATGAGTCGTCACTTCCTCATGTGTATTTTCAGCTACTCAGCAGAGCTGGTGAAGTGTCTCCAGTGCTTTGTTTCTGCCAGTCAGAAAGAGAGAATATGCTAAGATGCCTTTTAAGGACATTCAAGAATATACTGGTGTAAAAAAAAAAAAAAAAAAAAAAAAAAAAAAAAAAAAGGAGGAAAAACCATACAAAAAGGTTCTATAAGCAATTGTGACTAATTTTGTGAACTGGTGTTAGACATGTGTTTAATTGCAGAGTGAAAAAACCAAAACCACAAAACCCCAAACTATTTATTTAAAAGAATATATACTTTTGACTTTAATAAAATGGCGTAGGTTTGGTTTTATTACTTTTCCAAAACCACAGAAAATCTAGATGACCTTAGTTCCAGGTAATCCTCATTTCAGTTCGAGTCTTTCAGTTCAAGTAAGTCTTCTTTAATTAAAATAAATTATTTGAAGATAACAGAATATAAGTGATGAGCTAAGCAACTGTGCATTTATATCAAGCACATCTGGCTTACCTCAGTTATCTTTTAGTTTCTTTAAAATTATTTTTTCTCCTCTCTTGAGTTGGAACAGAGAAATTTTGCACCTCATTAGTCCTGTATACATATGTTAAAGTTGTTACTCTCTGCTGTCATGACTCAGAATCGTTCTGATTCACCTTTGATATGATTCATACCTCGAACTGAGTTCCCACTGAAGGCCAGCTGAGAAAGGGACCCTGCTGTGCCAAAGACTGTGCAGACAGAGACAGGATTTCTGCTCCAGGGAGCTTCTAATTAGCTGCATTCACACATGCAATGAACACACCCCAGCCTGCTCAGCTACAGGCATCGGAGTACTCCAGAAATGGTGATATCACACCGGAGACACTTTTCAGCAGGGTATTTTGGGGGTATATTCACCTCCTGGGAAAGGGAGATTGGGCCTAGAGGTCAAAATAAGCCATTCAGCCTCTTGCAGCCTGGAGTGTAGATAAGCTCTGCTGCGATGTCATGTGGAAGAGACACGGCTGATGTTTTCACTTCCCAGTTATTACTCAACATTTCAGTTACATTATTCTGCAGAACTCTGGCCTTTGCAAAAGAGGTCACATTAGAGTTAAAAGAGTTAAATTCTAAAAAACCCCTTCCATGTTTTGGGGTCCGAACACAAAAGTCATTTCAACTCTTTTAATGCCATTAGGCTCAGTGTTTCCTGTTTTGATGGGCACATGAAGTTTCACAAACCATCTGCCGGTGAAATCCTGCAATAATGTTACTTGATGAAACTAGCGGTAGGCTCAGCCCACTGATCGTCTGTAGGGCGACCTCGGCACAAAATTTCTTTGACTTTAAAAGGTATAGTCCAAACCTACCCCTGATGCCCTTTGTTCAGCTCTGCCTGTCAGTGGCTGCTGCAGGAGCTGTAACTCCACAGCTCCTCACCTGATTTGTCATCGGGTTTTTGTGGGATTGCCATATAAGGGTAAAAGAAAGTCTGATTCTCACCCGAACTGAGTCCTTAGGTAGGCACAAAGGAAGTTCTGGGTTTTGCAAGTCTTTGTACTTCCCCTTACAAACCCTTCTGCCTTCTGGTAACCAGCTCTTCTATAAAAGGAGAAGGGGAGCAGTGAACTGAATAATCTGATTATTGGGGTTGGAACTAGATGATGTTTAACGTCACCTCCAAACCATTCGTTGGTTCTGTGATTAGGGGTAGAGATTAGAACATGCAATATTTTAGAAAATGTACTTACAGGTGGGATAACATTAATATAAACCACAGCCAATTCAACAAGGCAAACAATCCTTAACAAGAGAACCTTTTCCACCAAATATGCAACCTCTGATGCTGAGAAACCCTACACGGCCCCTTTTGTTAATTTTCTGCTTATCCCAGGCCTAGCTTGAATTAAATTCCAGATTACTTACTGCATTACACAAGTCTTTTGTTTTGTTTGCAAAGGTTTGTAATCTGTGTTTAGTGAAAACTGTAGAGTACAATAAGCCTGTAACTGAGTAAAGGAGTCAAATGGTAGAATTCAGAGTATCAACAGTCTCCGAGTTTGCTTCTTTTTTGTTGTTTGATTGGTTTAATTTTGTTGGGTTTTTTTTTTTTATTTACAGTCTGCTTTCTATGAAGGAATTTTAGAATTTATTGAGGGTATTTTTTCCAATGAGAAAGTCTTCCATAGAAAATATATAACTTTAGCTCTTTCCCTACATAGTACTGCAGGACGGAAAGCAGAGGATCCTTTTGCTGCAGATGGAAACAGGTCTCATTTCCTCAGAGCACAGCTTAATTCCATCTATTTCTGTTGTAATGTGGGCAGCACTACACACAGTAACACTGTGGCCCAGACTTTTTGTTCTGTTTGTGAGCGTGGATCACCTCACAGGGTGTTACCACAACTGTGTCCTTGGGGTCGGAGTGTTTGGTCTGCCGACCCCAAACCCTGGAAGTGCTACCGCCATCAGAAACAATGAGGTGGAAACACAGTGAAATACATCAAACAGTTTCAGAGCACTCTGCATGGCTAACAAAAACATGTTTATGAGATGGGAAAGTTCTGGTAACATTCCTGAACTCATTTTTACTCTTGTTCACCTCTTTTAATGTACGCAGACTCTTTCTCCAAACAGTGGGAGAAAACCCCTTGAAACATCCTAGATTTGTGAGGGAAGACTTTTCCAGCAGGGCAGCTGTGTTTCTTGGCACTGGGCACTATTGACACCCACCATGTAACAAGAAACTAGTGTTTTGTCCTCTGTTATATGGAAAACCCTTACGTTTTGAAAATAAGTGATGGAAACATGATCCTGGCTTGTGATGTCAACAGCCATTGAGCAAACAAATAAATTTCTTGCAGTTTCAGGGGTTTGTACAAGTGTCATTGCCCTGCTTTGTTACTTGCAGCTCCTTTTCCCACACAGCTTCTTCCCTTCCACCTGTGCTGGATTTGATCTATTCATTCTTTGTTCTTGTTGTTTGTGCAGCACAGTTTATTTTCTACTGTAACTCATCTTTTTGACTGCTTCCCATATTTCTGTCCAGGTGTGGAGCGTGTCTCTCAGAGTCCAAAGCCTTTGGTTTACCTTTCACAGAGCAACGCAGAGCCCACGATGGGATGGACATTGCCCGAAACAAAACCAGTGCAGGCTGTGGGAGCACCCAGTTTGTTTCTGACTGCTCAGTGCTGGGATCTCTGCTCCAAGGGTATCCAGGAATAGGTGAGACACCAGATTAAAGTATGGGAGAGGAAGCTGTTCCTGCCTCATGCTTTCCCAGGGGTGTATGTATATATATACACTATATATAGAATACAGTCATGTCCTTGTACATCTCAGCATTGCCAAACTGCTCCAATAAGTTCCAGGTTGTTTTTTTCCTAAACTCTGGGTTATAAAAGCCTGGTTCTGGAGCAGCTTCCTGTGTGATCCAGCAGCACTGCTTGCTGGAGCCATGAGCTGTGGGAGGAAATTAGGGCAATAAACTGCTTCCATCTCAGTGTTTATTCCATGTGTGGGTACTCCAGTACCTTCATAAAACACGTGTGGCAGATGTGTCCCCCACAGATGCTCTCCAGAGCACAACACAGCAGCTTTCTCTGTGTTTTCTGTTTTCAAGCTGTACTTTATCACAGGAGAGTGA